GGCCGCGGGGAGGTGGCGCCCTTCCCCCACCGTTGGCCTGGCTGCAGCCGCCCAGGGCCGCGATCCTGCGCCAGTCGGGGGACCGCGGCACCCCCCGGCTCTCGCAGCCCGCGCCCCGCCAGCACCCTCTGCCGACCTGCGTCCCCCACAGATGGGGTCCGTGAAAGAAAAGCCCAGGAAGCGGCTGTCGTGCTGCCGCCCGCTTAGAATCCCCGCGGGAAAGGGAGATTAATTTGCGCTGGGGCAGCGATGGAGCGCAGCAGCGACGGGGAGGGGCTTCCTCGCGCTCAGATCCTGGCGGCTGGACCGCGGCGCTGGCCGGCGGCGGCCAGCCCGGCGCCTTTCGTCTCGTTGTCGAAACCTGCAAATTCCAACGCCCTATTAAGGTGCCCGAGCCCTCGGCCTGGCGGCGACCTGCACCTGCCGGGCTCTGTGTGTGTCGGGCGGGGTGGGGGTGCCCGGCTGGGCGCTAGGAACAGCCAGGGCACCGCCGAACCCGCCCCGCCCAAGGCCCCGCCCACAGGAAACTCCTCTTGGGTGGGGCCCTGTGGCTTCCCGAGCCGGAGCCCCAGCCTGCACCCCGAGCCCCAACCACCGGGCCGCAGCCCCCAGGGCAGGGGGTGGGCAGCCCACAGCGGTCAGTGTGGGCTGCGCTAGGGGTCTGCTGCCAAAGACCTTAGCGCACCTGCCCTGCGCCCGCCCCCCAAGAATGTCCCCACGGCCCCGCCCCCGCGCTGGGACTGAAGCCTTGTGGAGGGCCAAGCGCCCCCTGGGTGTGGGGGTCACCCAGGCTGGGTGCGAAGCAGGCCCCCTCCGAGGGGTGTCCCGGGGTGCCGGCGCCTGGCCCCCCGCAGCCGCCCGCGCGGGGGGGGGGAGGCCCGCGGTCCAGTCGCTTCGCTAGACGCGCGACTTTGGGGCTGGGGTCCGCTCGTGCTCGCGGTCCCCGACTCCGGGCTGACGGGCTTGCAGACCTCGCTGCCAGCAGCCAGGGGGCGGCGGGGAGCTGGAGCCGAGAGGAAAAATCCACCCGATTCCCGGGCAGATTGCGTCGGCCGCCGCCCGGCCGTGTCCCCGCCTCCCGG